TCGATAAATCGTTAACTGGAATATGGGGACACTTAAAAATACTTTTAGCTGACAGAGCAACCCAATTAGAGCAGTAATTATTCCAAAATTATATATATATTAAAAAAAATCTATCAAAATTCTCAATCCGGAACTCTTCAAGTCAAATAGTTTTAGTTTTGCCAGGTTTGGGCCTGAACAAATATCTACTTTAAGGAACCCTTAGTTAATAATTGTTAAGTGTGTCCCTACTAAATACAGGGAAATACTGGAAATAAACATGTAAGAAGACACAAAAAAAAACTTGTGAATAGAGTGGAGATTTACCTTCTAGTCACACAGCAGCTGTAGGCATGATGCCAGAAATAGAGTGGAATGGTGTAGATTATGGTGCATTACTCTGTTAGACTGGTCCTGCTTAAGTCAATCACAAAGTTTCACTTAAGAAAATGTTTAGATAGGCTGCTTCTACTGTACTTCAGATATTTTGCAGAGAAAAAAAATCTGTCTATATGTGAAAACTTTGTAGAGTAATTCTAAGAAAGACCCTCTGCAAGAGCAGCAACTTTTTCAGAGCATTGACTCAGATATATAAAAATTATGAAAAATATTTGTCATATTTGTACCCACAAAGAGGAAACTATCTATAGTTTTCTTTCTGCCTTAAAAAAAAAGAAAACTATGGTTTCATCTTTAGTTTTCTTTCTGCCCCAGAATTATGCAGTAATTTGTGCTGCTCTATCAACTAAAATTCATTCAAGTTTGTGACGAAATTTGAAGTTCAAGAAGCACAATCGCTTCTGTGATACCTTATGTGATGTTTCCCACGTTTGTTGATTATTATCTGAAGAGGGGTCTGATAAGGAAGATTAAAAACCTCTTTGTCAACAAATATAGAAGAATGGATCTTTTACGACCACTTTCTCAATAGATTGACAAACCAAACATGGCTAAATTAGTCCAACCCACTAAAACAGATAAGTATTTAAAGCAAAACATCAACTTGAATATAGGTTTGCATCAAGTTCACCCTGAGAGAAACATTTGGCGCAACCTGACCTGCTGAGAGGTAATAATTAATATAGTTCATAGTTTAACTTTAAAAAAAAACACGTAGGATGGTTAAAAATATTCCCTCTTTACTTCAGCTTTAATATTCTCTATTGGACTTAACTGATTATATTAGCTTTTTTTTTTACTTCTACAGGATGAAGTGTGTTCTGATCTTTCTTATGCTGTCTCTGGTCGTCTTTATGGTGGATCCTTGTGAGGGTTTCCTGGGCTCTCTTTGGAGAGGGACCAAGGCCATATTTTCTGGTGCCAGAAAAAGCTTTAGAGGTAAATACCATTTAATGATACATCCAGTAAAACTAATTGCTCAGTCTGAAACTGAAACATTACTGAAATACGTTTTATAAATTTTCCCCCATTTACAAATTTTAATGAATAATAATGTGCGAAAACCTGATGGACAATAGCATAATTATTTTTGTTTCGTTTTGTTTTGTTTTGCTACTTTTAGCATTCAGGCACCAGCGAAGACTGGAAAAAATAGCAAGGTAAGCTGTTGTCACCAACAATGTTGTGCCAGTCTCACATAACAAGAACTAGTTAGCATTGGCTAAGCTGATTTAACAATGATGCTTCTCCAAAACTTTCAACAAATAGGTCAGACGAACTTATTCCTAAAGTCAGTCACTGATTACCAATGATAACAATTTTCACCAAGCATTTGTAGCCCAGCCTTTGGTAGCTTATTGGTTACAGTGGTATAAAGCACGCTGCCACTGGAATCTACAGAATAGAAAGCATTCTCTGCAGGTTAATCGCTTTTCTCAAGCTTGTGGACAAGTCTGGGTTTGACGAATGGCCTGCACTGTGCCAAATGTAAAGTTCGGAGGAGGGGGGTGTATGTTGTAAGGTTGTTTTTCAGACCTATTAGTTGGAGTGGATCCCTCAGTAAACCATGATATTTGAGACAACTATTCGCATCCAATTTTGTGGGGACAGAATGGAGATGGCCCTTTTGTCTGCAAAGCTATCTGTATTTTAAATAATTGCTAGACAGACGAACAAACAGATTGTATTTAAGTGTAGTTATTTATTATTTCTATGGACACATTCACAATTGGGCAAAGGTGTATAAAAGAAGTATATGATTAAAATAGTTGCTTCTGATTAGCGCTGTCTAGATTGGGAAAGAATAACTTATCTAATAAGATTTTTGGATACTGAAATCTATTTACCTCTGTGTAGTATTTGTTTTATCTAAAATATTAAGAAGTTTAAGATTCTGTTTGAGAGCTTTTTAAAGTTTGAAGTTTTTTATTTACCATTTTCTGCTTTAATTAGGTATGAGCAGGAACAGAAGAACCAGCAAGAGCCACAAAATGAACCGGAAAGTGAACCAGGACATCGTCTTTAATTCTGCTCATTTAAAGATTTCCCTGCCATGGATATATTTACATTTCGCTTAAATTTAAGAGTAATCTTTTATCTGGAAAGCTGCTTTCTGCTAACTCACTCCTCTTACACACGAAGGGTTTTTAAGGTGCCTACAACAAATAAAGACGATTGTCAGTGTCAGTCTGAAAGCTACAGAAAAATTAAAAAGATAAAAACAATGAATTGTGCTTTGTCTTTCTTGTCTAAAACATTTGACCTAATTTTTGTCAATAGGGTACAAAGTTTATTATTGTTTATCAAGAGTGTTTGATGTTGTAATTAGTTGGCAGTCCCCAATGAGAACCAAGAGCAGTGAGACAACATCTGAGCCTGTGGTTCTATTCGGTACTTCTCAGGGCTGCGCGCCTCCTCCACAGAACCTTGCTGTCTCTCCACCATTAACTCTGTCTCAGGTGAAGATGATAGAATGAAATCTTCCACTTCATATGGCCACTCTATCGCAAAACTTTTGGCACTGTGATCTCTCTGCTCGCTGTTAAGTACCACTGGTTCTCTTTCAATCTATGTGCCTAGGAATCATTGATATAATGTTCAATCACATATCAAAGTCCTTAAAAAAAAAAGGTATGCAAAATGTCCTTACACGTCATCAAAGTACACTCCAGCTGCATTAAAGAAATAATGAACAGGAAGTATAAATAATAAACAGGAAGAAAAATAAGTTGCAGCCCAAATTGTTTATCAATTTTGACTTGTATAGCTTGAAAGAAAGAATTCATAGGCTCTTTATCCAGTTAAGTTTTATTTCAAATTCATTAAATTCAGTTTACTTTTATAGCACCAATTCACAACATATGTCATCTCAAGGTTCTTTACAGAAACAACCCAATCTGATCATACAGTCAGATTAGTTCAAAATTTCTATGTAAGGAAAACCAACTGATTGCATCAACTCATTGATTCAAAATGAATCCCTCACACCAAGCATGCTTGTAGCGACAGTGGAGAGGAAAACTGCCTTTTAACAGGAAGAAACCTCCCACAGAACCAGGCTCAGTGTGAGAGAAGCCAACTGGGGTTCAAGAAAATAGAAGCACACATACAGAAAGAAGCAGAGATACAAGCTTGATGTAGATTGACCTCTTGTAGTGAGATAAGCTGGGTTATGTTTACCATTACAGTGTTTCCATACTTCATCTGATGTCAAAGTCTGTATATCCACTACTCGGTTAGCAACAAATGGTTTCCATTTCCTTGGTGAAATGTGAATCCAGTGAATCCCTATCACAGAGTCTGACCACATTTACAGCTGGATGATTTGCATATCCAGTGCCTTTAAAAGGTTATTGGCAAACTTGCTCCAATTAAAGTTCCCATTAGCTTCAAATGGGGAAATATTTTTTGATACTCTGGATTTTGCAGCCACGAGTGCAGCTGCGGTTTATCCTTCTGCTCTACATGTTGTACGTGGTTGGACCATAAGCCCTTTCACTGGCATCTGTGAAGACATGGAGAACTTGTGATTTATTTGAGTTTTTCTGTGTCACACCACCTTGGAATGCCTGTTTGGTGTATGTGGGGGAGCTCCAAGCACTAATGCTGCCATGCTTGGGAAAGGTATGGAGTCAGCTCATCATTCTATCTAAGACCCCGACAGCACTTTTCGTGAAACACTTAACTCGTAAATTAAATTCTGTCACGTCACAAAGTCCAACCGGGTCTAAGCTAGAATGTAAGGCTGCATTTAAACTATCACCTTCAATGTCAGCATGGATGTTAAAATCCCCCACTATGATGACCTTCTCAGTTTGTCACTAACTCAGATAAGAACTCTGAAACTCATCTAATAATTCAGAATAAGGAACAAGTGGATGATACAACATTTATGAAAAGTTTAAAACCCAAAAACTCTCATTGGCTACTTTACATCTCAATTTGTGAAGAATTTCCATTTAAACTATCCATCCATCCATTTTCCATCATGCTTATCCCTAGCGTGGTCGCGAGGGGTGCTAGTGCCCCTCTCCAGCTATCTACAGTCGAGAGGCACTTCAGGCACCCTAGATAGATCACAAGTCTATCACAGGGCCCATTTAAACTAAAATCACTGTATTTTCTGAATTTGACGGTCTTCCCGCTTTTTCTCTCTGCTACTTTATGTATGTATGGATGGATGGATGGTCAGAAAATATATAGAAGGTACATTATATTTACGTAAGAGGTAAAATATAAGCATGTCAAAGTAACATTAAGCATCATAACTCCTATGGCTTCCTTACACTTAGTTATTTTATAATGTTTTATGTTGTTTGTTTGGAATTAATTTTTGCTAATTATTTGCTAAAAAAGTGAGAGTTGAAAAACTATTTAAATAGTGATATATTTAAAAAAAAAAGATACATAAATCATTTTAAAAGGTAAAACTTAAATCCTTTACAAATAGACCTGTAGTGCCTGATAAAACATAACCTGAATCACCAATTGATGATTGCAAAAGGCACAAAGGCAACATCAAGATTATAAAATATACCACAGTCCAACCCACCACAGGAAACAGGTATATAATGAGACGAATCCACAGCAGCCTTAGATCTTGGTTTTTCTTCCGCTTTAACCACAAGCACTAGCATTGCTCTAGCCTGCTGAAAGGTAAACATTTTTTCAAATGTATAAAAACTTATTACTGTGGATAAATAACAGCTGCATGATTATTTCTTTTCTCTGCAGAATGAGGTGTGTTGCACTCTTTTTCATTGTGTCTCTGGTCATCCTTATGGCTGAACCTGGGGAGTGTGGCTTCAAGTCATTTTTTAGAGGGATAAAACATGCTGTCGGAGGTGCCAGAGATAGCTGGAAAGGTAAATCTTTATTCAGGGAAGTTGTAATAATTCTAAAATGCAAAATAATATATATAGAGAGTGAATAGTTGGAAAAAAATCAGACTAGCCACTGCAATGAGAGACAGTAACTTTAAGTATTCAACAGAAATACCAGAGTAATATATTTACAAAAGATTAAAACAATGTTTTTTTTGTTTTAAATAAGGTATCGACATTCATTTTAACTGCTACATATAAGCATTCGTTACCATCAACCTGTTAAATTTATATCAATCTGATTGGGTAGCCAGCTTGAAGTTTGCTTTGTGCTAACAAATACAGACCCTTAGCTCCCAGCCGTAATTTCAAATACTGCAGGAAAATTGAAGTAGCCTTATTTCAGCCTGCTGACGAGCAATGACGAGAACGGATAAGAGTGGGGCACTGATGGAGGATTTTATACTTCAGACACTAGAGAAACTTTGTCTACTTTGGCAACTTCTATGGCTTCTTAGTATAAACAATTTGACTACAGGTATTATATAACAGAAACATGACTTTTTAGTAAGCAGCTCAAGCATAACTACCATCAACTATATTCAAACCCTCTCAAAGATTGTTTTATCAATATTTTTCTGCATGTCTTGTACTGTTTTGATCCCGATGGGGGGAGCACCAAATATATAACAGTTTCAAATGTATTTAAATCACAAGCTGCCTGAGGAATGATTGCATTTATATGTTTTTAATAACTTTTCTTTCTGTTTTAGCGTACCAAGAGAAGCGAAATATGGAAAAACAGGCAAGGTAAGGCATTACGACCCAATGTTCATTCCCAACTTTCCAAGTCATTGGCTTTTAAGTGATTATTCATCTGGTATATCCTGATTGCTACCAAGACCAGTTCCATTCACTTTAACGTTACCCAGCTAATTATGGAAATAAAATAAAAAATTTTAGTTTCATCAGTTTGTATTTTTGACATTATTTGTAAATGCCTCTGGGCTAATTCTTTTTTCTTTTTCCACCTAGACTGGAGCAGGCTCAAGGACCACCAAACCTAAATTAGGGCTAATATGGACCACTGGAATTCATTCTAAGCCTTAGGATAAAACTTTTACTTCTATCGCTAGGAGAATCGGTGTTACTGTTTATTTGATCTCTAAGCTGACAACAGCCCTTGAATTTGCATGACTGTAGGAATCTTTCCACCAAATCCAACTTGTCTTATGAGATCTTGTTAACTTTCTTTGAATAAACTTGCAATTAAAAAAAATTTAACCCTGATCTGTGAGTCTGTTTAAACGTGTTAGCTGCAACAGTGATGATACATTTGTTTGCTTTAAACATTTAACATTACCCCCTTTCAGCAATATCATGGATAAATTACGACAGATTCAACGGAGGCATTAAAAGAGAAATGTAAAATCATTTTATATTTACTTTACAGCAAATCAAAGTTTCATACTCCAATTTCATTTAACTTGCTTTATTGGAGATAATCTCTGACAACTGTTTGTAGAGATGCTCTGTAAATAGTTACATTAGCTTTTATATATTTGTCAATAAAGTATTGAAACATGCACAAACAAAATGTTCACATTGGAAATTTAGGACGTATTTTTCTTCATCTAATATAAGGAGAATAAGAAAAGGTTGGAAAACCTTGAACTTATGGAGGATAAAAAGTGCCAAAATTAAATAAATAAATACAGCATTAAATAAATAATTAAATGTGTCAATAATTAATTAAATGTGGAATTAAATAAATAAATGTCTCATTCATTAATTAAAACTACGTCACTAATATAAAGTGCCACAATTAAATAAATAAATACAGAGATAAACAATTAATTAAATGTGTACACACATTAAACAATAATGAATTAAATGTATAAATGTGTCATTAATTTAATAAAATACGTCTTCATTTTATTAAAAAAATACATATAATTATTTCAGTGTGCATTTAATTATTTCATGGTCCTGTGTCGCAGTGCATCGAAACCATTAAAAGAATCTGTCAAACTCACCCATCAAAGTTAGGGGGCGGGGTTAACACGAATCGAGTCTCTGTAATCAATTTGCTTCGCCTTAATGTGCAGGGTGACCAATCAGGTGTTAGATAACCGCCCCCTAACTTTAATAATTAAATGCAAACTGAAATAATTATATATATTTTTTTAATAAAATGAAGACGCATTTTATTAAATTAATGACACATTTATATATTTAATTCCTTATTTATTTAATTGATCACACATTGTTGTTCACACATTGTGACAACGTCCTTACACAACCACTGTGATTTGAGATCTGATGTAATAAAGCTTCTCTTTATTTGGAAAGTTAAAACACTTGCCTTTGAGTTGCTTTGCTTTGAGGCTATCTGTATACAAATCATCAGGCCATTGGTGAAAATTCATCTAGAGTCTGTGTCATTTTCTGTTAGGAATTCAGTTTTGTGTGGCCTGTTTGTTTGTCTCCAATTTTCACCACCAGGAGGTGCCCTGTCTTCATTGTCCCTCCCTGCACACCTGCGGCTTGTTGGATCATTATCTGGAGGAGTATTTGAGCAGTGGACTGGCACTTCCTCGACGCCAGAGTGTTTGCCAGTTTTGGGTACTCTAGCCAAGCTAAGTTTAGCTGAGTCTAATCTAGCTTTGTTTCTCTGAGTCTAACTTACTTTTTGTCTTTGCTCCTCGGCAGGAAGCTCTCCTGTGTTACTGGATACCTGGACCTTTCTCTCCCCTGGAAGGATAAACCGCGTTACACTGAGCAGGGAAAACCTCCACATGTTCCGTTCAAGTTCCCATCGGAAATCCGAGTGACAGTCCACTCCATTGCTCCTCCGGGTCCTACGCTGGTCAAACCTGTCCGCCCTCCAACATGTGCACCTAACTCTGGATTCACCACACAGTCTGGATTCAAGGAATAACAAGGCCCCCCTCAAACGTGATTTCCAAACCACGCTAGATTTCAGAGCTTCCAAGGTTCCCACAGAACCTGAACTGACCAATGAACTTCCCTTCTCTCTTCCAGTTCTGGGTCACCAGCTCACTGAGTTCCAGATCCACTCCTGTAACTCCTTCAATAAACCTGTTAAACTTTTTCCGTGCTCTCTGAGTGGTTTCTCTGCATGTGGGTCAGATTTGTTAAACCGATCATGAAATTTTCAAGTAAAACCAAATAATGGTAATAAAATCTGGATTGGTATATCCTTAAATTAATAAAATATAAGTAACTGTTGGCCCTCAGAAATATTGTTGAAATGAGTCAAATTAGGACAAGTCTATACACGTGACACCTAGCCATGTTAGTATTTTACCCACCAAGACCACAAAGTTCAAAATAAGAGTTTGTTTAAACTTCAATTATAACAATATAAAACTAATGTAAAGGTACAGTATTGTCCTAAAATTCTACCTTACAATTGTCATTGTAGTTTAGCTCATCTCACACTGCTTGTTGAAATTCAACCAAGAACTGTTTGTTTTCATTCAATAGTGAGCAATGGATTCTTTTGCTATACTTTAACAAATAAGGTTTACAATTTTAGTTTTACCAAATAGATCAACAGATTAACAAGCTACACAATACAAATTAATATTCTTTGTGAATAAGATGGTTTTATACTTAAGAAAATTGTACAGATATTTTCTATTTCTTTTAGTATTTATTTATGCAAGGTCTCCTGTGAGACCAAAAATTCTATTTACAAGAGAAACATGTTTTAAAAAGAAAACAACAAATGTTTTAAACAGCAACAATACAAACAATTTAAAAAACAATAAAATAAAATGGTAAAATAAAATATTACTTAAAATATGAACATGTTTTATAGAACAATTTCAGAATTTTGCTTAAAATGTGTTTAAATTCTCCCAGACAAATCATTAAAAGTTTCAGACTCTGCTTTAAAGTGCCCATTTGCAGTGCATAATATAATGATACTTTATTGAACTCACAGTAGCTCTGCATTTAACCCATCCCCTTGGGGAGCAATGAGCTGCGATCATGGGGCGTCCAGGGAAGAAATCAGGGGTTAAGGGTCTGGCTCAGAGACCCAGAATGGCAGTCTGTAGGAGTGGGATTCAAACTCAGAACCTCAGGATTCCAAGCTCTATGCCCTAACCACTAGGCCGCCAGTCCCCCAAATCTTGTATGGTGATTGTTTTTTGTTTTTTTCTTTAGGTTGAGATCGCAAAACGGTCCTCCTCAAAAGTAAAAGTTAGATCCCGTATCATCACTGCAGTGTATGACAAAACAAAACCAGTCAATGATTGCAAAAGGCATTTTGTAATACTTTGATTAAGAAACAGACCACAGTCCAACCCACCAGGATAGACGAGTATTTAATGATTCAAATCCACATCAGCGTAAGATCTCTGTTAATCTTGCTCTTTAACCACAATCTTTGGCATATTGATCCGACCTGCTGAGAGGTAAAATACAAATATATATATATATATATATATATATTAGCAAATACAGACCCATAACTATAACTTCATAGCTGACTTAAATTTGTTTTGTTTCCCTTATTTTGCAGAATGAAGTTTGTTACACTCTTTCTTGTTCTGTCTCTGGTCGTCCTTATGGCCGAACCTGGGGAGTGTTTCTTCAAGTCACTTTGGGGAGGGATAAAAGCTGCATTTAGAGGTGCTAGGGATAGTTGGAGAGGTAAGAAATGCTTAACTGCACATTTAAAAATAACTTCCAAATGCACTTTGTATGCTGAAAAAGGAATTTAATGATTTAAAAAAGTCTACTAACAGGCATGAAAGGAAAGCCATAATTATTTCTATCATAGATAATCATAGATTGACCAAAGCATCACTTCTATGACAGTCTCAAATTAATCTAAATGAGCTGTAAAATATTTAAATACTTGCTTATTTTGATAACATTTCTCTCTGTGTTTAGCATACCGTCACCAGCGGAGATTGGAAAAAATAGCAAAGTAAGACAAATTTTCATTCCCAACTTTGAATATTTATGGAACCTTAGGCTGAATTTTATCTAGTGCAATCAGTTATGGCCACTTATATTTCACTCATCTAATCATGCTTTCTTGATACAATAAAAGTTCATCATTTTGTTTCTGAAAATAAAAAAAAAAAAAATAATAATGTTGCCTTTTTTCTGTTTTCCCAATCTGCCTTTTTTTTTTATAATCTTGAGATTTTCTTGTAATTTTCCTTCATGTCTTTCTTAATCTAGATATCAGCAGCGGAACCAGCAAAATCAAGGACCAACAAATCCACCACCTAATCAGCCACCAAACTAGCCAGTTTGGCAGTTATCAATCCTCTGAAAACATTGTGAGCCTAAAAGGCCGTATAAGAGGCAATTGACGTTTGCAAAGCTTTTGAATTATCTTGTTTTATTGCTTAAGCTAAAGATTAAGAAAAATGAAAAAGCTATATTCTTTTATTTTTCTAAGCACTATCCTCTTATAGAATTTCTTGGTTGACTGGTATAAATGCATGGATTTTTGTCCACAAAACTCAAATTATGTGACAACTCTGAAAAATTAAACTTGCAGTTCAAAATATGTAATCCTGCATTGTGATCCTATTTAAACTGGTCAGATGATATAGTATGGATCTTTTTTCTATGTTACAGTACATAAACATTTCCTAATTTCATCAATGGATGGAAAAAGACAGTATTTATGATTAAATTATGACATTTTCCTCAGTTACACATTACTGTATGTGGGTGACAGCTGTGTGTTTGGTGTTAAGTTGAGGTTTTGATTTAAAGTTTCCAAAAGCGATTCAGCCAAATGTTTTTGCGGAATATTTGCCAAATATTTCTGATGCACGAGAGGAATCTATAATCAGACAGCTTGTTTTTTTAAAACCAAAATATATATATTAAAAAAAATCATTTTTTTTTTTTTCATTTTTATGAGACAAGTGGTTTTTGGGAGGGAATTTTATATCTATTCAAATTTACTTTGAAAACATTGAAGCACTGATATGAAATTCACATATGATCTTACCAAGAAACCTTTAATATTCCAAAAGCTTTTCACTCTACACTAGGTTTATTATATCTTTGTATTTGTATAATAGCACACCCCTTAAACACATTCATATACTATAAATATATATATTATATATCAGTGATGGTTGCTAAACAGGGGAGGCCCAATGGTGGTAATTAAATCCAGATGTAACAAAATGCACTGACATATGTTGAAACACATTACAACATATTGTGGTAATTACTAAATAATGTGAAAGTAGCTGTTGGAAAGCGCTCTGAAATAATAAACTCCAGAAATGACAGCAAAAGTTTAGCACTAGATGACTGAACTGACTAAATGATCGCTTTTCGCTCCAAGTCTGAGTCTCATGAGGAAAATCTCCGCCCTGTCTGGCCACTGTCAGTCAAATATTTTAGCATGTTCTGCCAATCAGTATTGAGTGGGCCGGCCCCTGCTCCATAGAGCCCAAATGAGGCTTAGTCTCACTG